GGTGGGGAATGATGGATTCTTTTTATAGTTATTTTACCTTCAGGTTCTAGGACTTCAGGGCAGTTTTCCTTTATGATTTCCTGAAGGATATTGTCCAGGCTCTTTTTTTCATCATGACTTTCAGGTAGGCCTATAATTTTTAAATTGATTTTATGAATTTTATGATTTTATGAATTTTATGATTTATGAAATTATAATTTTAAATCGATTTTCCAGGTCCTCTGTTTTACCCATAAGGTATTTTATGTTTTCATCTATTTTTTAATTTTTTTATTTCTGTTTGAGTGATTCTTGTTCTCTCATAGAGTCATTAGTTTCCATTTGTTCAATTCTAATTTTTAACATTTTTTTTTTCCTGTTAGATTTTGTACTTTCTTCTCCAATTGGTCAATTGTATTTTTAAGCGATTTATTTTCTTCATTGTACTTTTTTTCCAATTGGCCAATTGAACTTTTAAAGGACTCCTCTACCTCTCTCATTTGACTTTTAAAATTCTTCTTGAGTTCTTCTAAGAAGGCTTTTTGGGCTTCAGACCAGTTCATATTCTCTTTTGATGTTGCAGATGTGGGTTTGATGACAGTGTTGTCCTCCTCAGAATTTCTGTCTTGATCTTCACTCTTCTCATAATAGGAACCAATAGTGCATTTCTTTTTACTCATGGTTTTTCTTTATTCCCTGGCCTTTAAAGAGATTAAGCTCTCCTGCTGGGGAGCAGAGGGCACTGACCCAAGATTCTTGTGTTGGGAGCCTAGGTCTTGGTCACTGGCTTTGGGAGCTGGGGCCTCTTATGTTGGCAATTGGAGGCTGCAGGGTGCCGGCAGCTTATCTGTTGTTGGGCTGGAATCAGCAAGGCTGGAACTTTCAGGTAAATCTAGGTTGCCTGCTTTTCCTTTCCTTTAGCTTTGTTCAGCTCCTTTTAGATGGGTGCTGCCAGGTGTTTATCTGCCTGGGGCCCCTTGCAGTGCTGCCTCCCTTATTTCTGTTGAGGCACTGGGAGACTTCTTTGCTGCAGAATACCGAGGCACCTGGTGGTTTTCTGAGCTGGTTTCCACCAGTTACCCCACCCTCACTGAGGCACTCGAAGGTACAGCTGTTGGCGTTTGCCTGCTCGACTACCTGGGCTTCGGGATCTCCTCCTGGTTGGCAGTTGGAGGCTGTAGGGTTCTGACAGCTTACCTGGTGTTGGGCTGGAATCAACAAGGCTGGAACTTTTTGGCACCTCCAGGTTGCTTTCTTCAGCACCTTACAGACAAATGCTGCCGGGTGCTTATCCACCTGGGGCCCTTTGTAGTGCTGCTTCCCTTATTTTTGCTAAGGCACTGGGAGACCCATTTGCTGTAGAATGCCAAGGCACTAGAATCTCCTCCTGGTGTGCTAAGGTGGGTCTTTCCACTAGCTGGATGGGCGACTCCTCTTTGGTACTGCTCCCCTTCCCCCAAGGTAAGATGGGCCTTTTCCGTTAATCCCTCTAGCTACCTGGGCTACTGCCCTGCTGCACCCTGTCTTTCTTCTGGTTCAGCTGTTCCAGGGTTTTTTCTGGGGTGATATTTTCTGGGTTTTCAGAGGTTGATAGGGGAGGGTGAGAGCGACTACCTTTTTACTCCACCATCTTGGCTCCCGGAAGCAGAAGTCCCTCCCAGAATTGTTGTGAGGTTCAAGTGAGAGAAAAATTATTTTAAAAATGCTTAGCATAGTGCCTGGCACAGAGTAAACTATAAATGTCATAGTAAGTGCTATATAAATGTTTATTTTTTCCTTCACATCTTTTGCATATGTCCTCTTTCTTTCCACTCACATAGCCACTAGTAGTGGGGTTCAGACTCCATCACCTCTCACCTGAACTATTGTAGTAGCACTCTCTCTGCTTCAAGTCTTTCCCTCACTCTAAATCTACCTTCCAAACACATGGCAAAATGATTTTCCTTTCTTTTTAAATTTTAAATTTTTTATTTTTTTTAGGCAATTGGGGTTAAGTGACTTGCCCAGGGTCACACAAGTAGTACGTGTCAAGTGCTTGGTCTGAGGCCGGATTTGAACTCGGGTCCTCCTGACTTCAGGGCTGGTGCTCTATCCACTGCGTCACCTAGCTGCCCCACAGAATGATTTTCCTAAAGCATAGGTTTGACCACGTCACCTTTTCCCTGCTCCCCACTCCCTGGTCATTCAGTAAACTCTAGTGGTTTGCGGTTACCTCCAGAATCAAGTTTAAAGTCCTGTTTGACATTTACAGCTATTCCCCACCTAGCCCTTTCCTACATTTCCAGTCTTCTCCCACTCTACCTTCCACCACAAATTCTTGAATCCCATGTTACTGCTGATCCTCACACATAGCACCCCATCTCCAGGCTTTTGTTCTGACCCATGCCTGGAATGCTGCCCTTCTTCAGCTCTGCCTCCTGACATTCCTGGCTTCCTTCAATACTAAGCTTACTAAGCTCAAATACCACCTTCTGAAGGTGGCCTTTATTTCTTTTTAAAAAAATCTATTTATTTTTAACATTCATTTAAAAATTTTTTTGAGTTCCAAATTCTCTCCCTCCCGCCCTTCCCCACACCTTGAGAAGGCAGGCAATCTGATATCAATAATACATGTGAAATCATACAAAACATATTTCCGTAATAATTATGTTGCAAAAAAGCAAGAAAAATAAAGAAAGTGAAAGAAAATCAGTTTGCACTGGGTTCATCAGTTCTCTCTCTGGAGGTGGACAGAATTTCCCATTATGAGTCCTTCATAATTGTTTTGTATTATTGTATTGATCAGAGTAGCTATGTCTTTTGCAGTTGATCATCGTTAGCAATATAGTTATCCCTTCCACATTGCAATTTCCCCATTGCAGTTTCAATATATCACAAGTCGACATAAGAAATTAAGTGGGAATTTTTTAGGAATTTTGTGGAAGCCAACGCCAACACGTGAAGTCCTGTAGATGACACAGAAAAAGTTTAGAAACTCAGAAATGCATAAAATATATGTATAGTATTGTGTAATATCAACATATTTTATCTTTAAAAAATTTTTTTTTATTAATTTATTTTTATTTATCAACAATCACTTCCATAAGTGATTGAATTTTTGAGTTTAAAATTTTTCTCCCCCTCCCTCCCCAAGATGGCATGCAATTTGATATAGGCTATACATATACATTCCATACTTCATGTTTTATTACCATAATAATTCAGACTTCATCTCTGGTACGAAGGGAGGGTCAAAAAATTTTATGTGGATTTTCTAGCTCATTGGGGCACTACACCCCTAACCCCTGTGATGTGGAATATGGATAACTGTATCACTATTACTATTCTGTTCACTTCACTTTGCATCAGCTCATATAAGTCCTCCCAGCTTTTTCTGAAACCATCCCCTTTGTCATTTCTTATAGCATAATAGTTTTCCCTCACAATCATATGCAACTTGTTAAGCCATTCCCCAATTGATGGCCATCCCCTCAATTTCCAATTCTTTGCCACCACAAAAAAAAATAAATATTTTTGTACATATGGGTCCTTTTCCTTTTTCTTTGATCTCTTTGGGTTACAGACCCAGTAGTGGTATTGCTGGTTCAAAGGGTATGCACAGTTTTATAAGAAGGCCTTTCCCAGTCATGTGCTCCCCTAGCCAAATAGGATGGATGCTTCCTAAGGGCAAGAATGACTTCATTTTTTTCTTCATGTAACCAGAGCCTATTGGAGTGCCTTAAACATGATAAGTCTTTTTTTTTCCTTTTGGGTCAGGCAATCAGGGTTAAGTGACTTGCACAGGGTCACACAACTGTAGTGTCAGGTATCTGAGGCTGCATTTGAACTCAGGTCCTCCTGACTGCAGGGCTGGTACTCTATCCACTGTGCCACCTAGCTACCCCTAAACACAGTAAGTTTTAACAGATGGCTTACTGAATTAAATGGAATTGCAGAACCTAGGACTTCTGAATTCAAGCCTATCTCGCTTTCCAATAAACCTTACTGCCTTCTTATGAGAATAATAACAATATAACTTTTTTTTTATTGCTTTCAACTTTACAAAATATTAGTTAGAGGCAGCAAGGTGGCACAGTAGATAGAGCTCTGGGCTTGGAGTCTGGAAGACCTCTGATCCAGCCTCAGACACTTATAATCTCTGGGCAGGATTAAGTGACCCTGGGCAAGCAACTTAATCCATGCCTCATTTTCCTGAACTGTAAAATGTGGGTAATAACAGCACCTACCTCGTAGGGTTGTTGTGAGGATCAAATGAAATAATATTTGTAAAGCACTTAGCACAGCACTCAGAACATAGTAGGCGCTATGTAAATGCTTATTCCCTCCTTCCACCTCTTCATTTCAATCTCACAACCTGTCTATTAGAGAGCGAGGGCAAGACTAATTGTCCCCATTTGATAGATGAGACAAGAAAGAGCCAGAGAAGTCAGTTGAATGTCCTAAGGCCACCTAGCTAGTTACATACACCATAAACGTACTATAAATTAGTAGTAAGTACTCAAGTCCTCTCCTGGATCACTGCCTTGTTGTGGAGGAGAGGCATGCATAGTAGCTCAATAAAACTATTAGCTGTGCCATTCAGGGTTACCCAAGGCTGACAGGTCACAGTGAAGAATTCTGACAAAAGGTGATCCACCAGAGAAGGAAATGGCAAACCACTCCAGTATCTTTGCCAAGAAAACCCCATGGATAGTATTGAAGGGCACGGCACACTGGGGTCTATGGGGTCACAGAGTCAGACACAACTGAACGAACAATAACAAAGGAGGATATGAAGTGTTAAGAGATTACATCAGATAATCCCTTTGTAAATTTTCCATCTAGACTCTAAAATATCTTTTCTCAGAGATCACACTGGGTAGGGTTTTTTTTTTTATCCAAAACCCCATTTTTGGCCCAGAGACATGGCCCAATTTAAAAAAGAGGCAGATTTAGGATTTGAACACAGGGCCTCTAACTCTAAACTCAATGCTATTTCCTCTATTTCACACTGCTTCTAATAAGTTTTCCTAACTTTACAGGACCCAGTCACCCTGGACAATGACTTCCACTCTGTACAAGTGTCTCTTCATTTTCTCAGCCCTCAGTTTTTGTGTCTCCCAGCCCAGCAACCAAGACCTCCCTCCCCAAGAACCCATTGCTGAGAAAGAAAATCCTTCCCACCGGAGGTTGGCACCAGTGAATGTTGACTTTGCATTTCGCTTATTTAAGAATTTGATATCAAGAGCCCCAGACAGAAATGTTTTCATCTCCCCAGTGAGTATTTCTATGTCCTTGGCCATGCTGTCCCTTGGGGCCAGGGCAGCCACACACACTCAGCTCTTGGAAAGCCTGGGATTCAACCTCACGGAGACGTCAGATTTGGAAATCCACCAGGGCTTTCAATATCTCATCCATCTGTTCAACAATTCAGATACTGGCCTGGAAATGAACATGGGAAATGTCCTATTTCTTGACTCTCAGATAGAACTTATGGAGACATTCATGGCAGAAATAAAGCACTATTATAATGTAGAAGTTTTTTCTGCAGACTTTCAAAATTCAACCAGAGCCAAGAAACAGGTCAACGATTTTGTCAAGAATAAAACTTTGGGGAAAGTTGATCAGTTATTCAAGGAACTGGATAGTGATACCATGCTTATTTTGATCAGCTATATATTTTTTAAAGGTAAAATATCTTACTTTGATAGGGTAGCTTGGTGGCACAGTGGAGGGAGCACTGGGCGTGGAGTCAGGAAGGCCTGAGTTCCAGTCTAGCCTCAGACACTTATTAGCTGTGTGACCCTGGGCAAGTCACTTAACCCTTTTTGCCTCAGTTTCCTTATCTGTAAAATGAGTTGGAAAAGGAAATGGCAAACTATTCCTGTGTCTTTGTCAAGAAAATCCCAAATGGGGTCACAAAGAGTTGGACAGGACTGAAACGACTAAACAAATCTTACTTTGTTACTGTTACCTGTAGTAATTATAGCTCCCCTTTATATGTAATGACTCAGGACTAAAAAGCAGGGCCCCAAAGTTACTTTGTTTCATCCTCAGTAACTCTTGTGTGGTAGATGGTGCAAGTACTATTTACTTTACGCATTTTGCAGGTGAGGAAGAAGACTAAGAAATGTTGATGGCTTGCCTTGGATCAAAAATTCCGTAGACAGGCATTTTAAAGTACTTACTATGTGTCAGGCACTCTGCTGAGTTCTGGGGATACAAAGAAAGGTAAAAACACAGTGCTTGCCCTCAAGGGGCTCACAGCCTAATGGGACAGACAACATGAAAACAACTATATTCATACAGATTGTTAAGTGGCAAAATCAGAATTAAAACCTGGCCTTCTAAACGAAATCCAATGCTCTTTCCATATATCACAGTTGACTTTACAACTGTGTTTTCTCTTCCCTCCTTCCCCTTCTTTACTCTCTTTTTTGGGTGGGTGGGTGGGACATAGTCATGATAAGTGTGCATACAATTCTGCTGATTTCATTGTACATCATCTCATATAGATCTTTCCAAATTTTACTACCAGTCCTTTTAACTCCAACTCAAATGCCACCTTTTCCACAAAGTCTTCCCTGATTATGCCTGTCTTCTCTTGGACCTCAAAAAAACCCCTTATTTTGTATCTCGATAATTTTGTTGTTGTTCAGTCATTTCAGTCATGTTGGACTCTGTGATCCCATTTGAATTTTTTTTTGGCAAAGATATGGGAGTGGTTTGCCATTTCCTTCTCCAGCTCATCTTACAGATGAAGAAACTGGGGCAAATGGGGCTGAGTGACTTGCCCAGGGTCACACAGCTAGTAAGTATCTGAGGTTTTAACTCAGGAAGATGAGTGTCCCTGACTCCAGGCGCAGTGCTCCGTCCATTGCGTCACCTCGTTACTCTCTCAATCAGGTCCTATAGTAGCAAGAGTAATGGATTTTGGGTCAGAAGACCTGAGGTCAAGCCCCAGCTCTGCTATTTTCTACCCATGTGTTGTTGTTGCACAAATCACTAAGCCTCTCTAGGCTTCAATTTTTTTTAAATATGTAAGTTGAGAGGGCTGGACTAAATGATCTTTAAAGTCCCTTCCAGCTCAAAAATCTACTGAATTCTGTATGTATGTAGGTACGTATGTATCTTTCTTTCTTTCTATCTATCTATCTATCTATCTATCTATCTATCTATCTATCTATCTATCTATCTATC